GTCTTACTAGACTTCACTATTTGTTCTGCCTCCTGCTATTTCTGTCCTGCATATTTTATTGTTCTCAATTTTTACCTGTTTCGTTTTTAAGTATAGTAGTTTGGACTGCTATACTTTTTTACGGTATACATTGATCTCTCTATCAATCTTCAACCACTAATAGTCTGCACGCAGTTGCACATTAGGTATGATCTTATTTAACCTTTTATTAACTGTTAGAATAATAAAATATAACGCCACTGAACATCTGATAATCACTAGACCTACTTAACAGATACCCATATCAGTAATAAAGTGGGTTTTCCAGTGAGAAGAAATTTCGTCACTGCAGCAAACTGGATTCACTTTTTGCAGCAGATTCAAGCATTGACTATATTAAAAGCAAGACTCTTGACTAGTACCGCAAATAAAAAGGAATAACACATCAGATGAAAGCCACATTAACAAAGTACTGAATTCTTTCGCTATATTTTGCTGATTTTAGGGCATCCACGTAGATTTCGTAAGAAAAACATTTACGTCTCATCGTATATTTTACGTTAACGAAATGTCTGTTAACTTTGTGGGATACAGGAAAAAAACCAATCAACTTACTAGGACAAAGTCACATGCCAAAGTAGCATAGAGAAAAGAAACAAATAGGATCCGAATAAAAAGGATGTTGGAGACTAAGGAACAGCTGGATTTACAAAAATGAGCTCTTAAACAAATCCAGTAAGATGAAGTGAATATATCTATCTCATGCAGTTCACTCTTTACTCATACTAAATTAGACAACTAAGTGTTTCAAGTTGTTAATGCAGAACACTAAAAAAATCTGTAGTTCTCAAAATAAGTCACCTGTCAACAGTGGTTTGTTCATTCAATCAAATCAAGTTCCCCTATATTTTCTTTCTACCCAGCCAGTTGGTTTAGGTTCAGATCAACCTCAATTGCTACTTCAGTAGGGATGTCACTCATTAGGTTTGGCAATCGATTTCCAAGAAGTGAACCGTGGATATGAATTTTGTTCTACATACTTTGTTATAAGCACTCAGGTAGGTTTCTACACAAAGTGGTTTGCGATAACCAACTACACGGTGCTTGTATTGCTGCTCTTCTTATACTTACAAAGTTTCATAGTATAACTACGGCTGAGTGAAGTTCGCTACTTTTATCGTAATGCCTTAAGAGCCTCACTTGAAGCAGTTCCCTTAAACACCCTCACATAACGAGCATGTCCCCATAAAATTGAAAAATGATGGTGAACGTTTAACTCTCATCACTGGCATTTTGAATTTAAATATTCTACTAAGAGAAGTTAAAAAGCCTTGATTCCAAACCACTGGTCACATGAACTTCAGGATTCAGATGAAATTACATTTAAATCTACTTTGGTAACCTACGAAAAACGAACTCAGAACCCATTGTTGCTTCTTTACACTCTGCCTGAGACTTCAAGTCAAAGATTTGCAGAAAAGTCTCATAGTATAATCATTTTTTTCAGGCTGTTCATCTGAATAGAATCTCCACGTCCACAAAAATCGAGTAACGCCAAATACAATGAGCAGTTTAACATGCTCAGATAATATTCTAATAAGTTATCAAATTTGCTGCATTACAAATATTTTACCTCATTACTTGACTTTCGGTTATTACGTCGTTCATGATACTTTTACACATGAACTGTTATCGTTTTTTATCATTGTGATCTCCCACTTTAATTGTATCACAATTTCATTGATCTGTATAACCTTGTTTGAAATCCGAATGTCTTTGCAGTATGCTGAGTAGGAATAAATTCTCCCTAATGAAGTTGTCCATCACTGCAATGTCTGACAGTCTTCCTGAAACCATGTACACCGTTATAACCGGGCATGTTCAACCCGCAGGCCTTGATTTAGACCGGAAAAAAGATAAGTTTTACTAGCACTGTGGAAAGCCTTGGTATGGATATATGCTATCTTAAGAAACCACATACAAAAACCTTAGTAAACTGCTTCGAGTAATTCCTCTGTCTTTTAGCCCAAAGAGTGTTTCATGTGTATTCATCCGGACACCAAGTGGCTTTGACGTCTGGCTTTGCTGAGATAATTGAATGGATTCTCACTTAATAGTACCGGTGTGTTTTAAAGCTAGATATTTTAAACGGTTAATGAAAACGTTTAAGTCATTCGCTTATGCGAAGGATTGCACAAATTTTATGCAGAGTATGACGAGCTTGGTTAGAGTGCAGAAGTGAGATAGAAACATCAGTTGGATCTGGCTTTAGTCGACGGTTACTTCATCTCATGCAAATAATGAGTAGCAACAAACCTGGTGTCAGTGAAACTACTTGTGAGGTATCTAGTGTGCCAACCAACAGTCTGGAATGGTACACTGACTAGTAACTAGAGAGAAACAATTTCCGTGTTGTCCAGTTCTCAATGCCAACTGACTTTAATCGACCACTTGGTAGAATTGAAAGCTTTCGAGAACGCTAAGTACAACGCTTCTAAAGCAAGTTATTTAATCCAGTACTCTAGCGATAAAGGTCTCAGTGCATTGCCCCGCATGGCCAATTTACACCGAATTGCTTAATAAAAAATGAGGTTTGGAAAGAACTTCAGGAACTGAAATAACATTATGCTCCTGATTTAAATGCATCCCTGGCTCCTTTTAAGGTTACATGCATGATTCCAGTCAAGGAATTGAGCACGCCGATTAAAAATTTATTGCAGGTTAACAGTGTTACACCACTTTGTGGTGAAAATACCATCTTTAAAAAGGGTTGATAAAGCATATATGGTCGTCGTCGACGTGTTAGTCTGACACCAGTTGCGTCCAAAATGTTGACTGCTATCACACTTCACAGGAGTTAAAAACTTATTTGAGGACTTCAATTGGGTAAAGATGACATTCTGGATGCAATGATAATGTGTTCACCTGCTGAAAAATGTGTGAACGCCATCACATCCAATGCAGGTCAACGATTGTTTCGCATCCTGATATAAGAGATGTCTTTGATTCGTTAGATGACACAGAGCTTTGTGGTTTCCTACTAGACAGGAGTGTCCTTGAGATGCTCACCAATATCTTGATGGCCTCATATGAAAACAAATCAGACGAATTGTAAGCGAACAACTGCTTCTCTCTGGTGTTCTGAAGTAGTGGAACATGGTTGTCTGATTCCTGCATTTCTTCTTAGTTTTACCATGGATGACATTTGTCAGATGTCTGTGAGGGAATCACATGGTTATGACGATGTATATCGAATACAACGAGAAAAACATTCTGACTGAGGGTTTCCGGATATCATATTCTAGAAGTTTGACCATATACAAGCTACCGAGATTGGAATTAGTCAGCTGGCTCTGTATATCCTCAAGTATAATAACGCTTTGCATCGTCGAAGTGCAGCAGACTTCGAAAGATTGGTAAAATGTTCAGCTTGTAAACACTCTTGATGGGAAGCTGACAGAGGTAATCATAATGTCCATGTATCTGGGTTATCGTTTGTATGCTGATGAGTGGACGGCCGATGATATTCTAAACTGTTTTGAAGACCAGATTGGAATATACCGATTCGAACAATCTTCGAGGCGATCTCAGCGTCAATGTGACCGTTTAAGGTAGTATACACCTCATCAATGCAAACAGTTATACTCGACACCAATGAGATATGGTCCCTTAAAGATGGAAATGTTCGCCAACTGTGTTTGTTTGATCATAACCATCTCCTTAAAATTATTGTTACAGGTTGGGGGGGGGGGGGAATCATACGAACAGCTCCAGGGTCAGATGCCAAATGTGTTGGTTTGAAGATCCTCATTTAATAATTGATGTTATCTTGAGATTTATTGGCTTGAACATGTGTGACAACTGATTACCCAGGGGTTTCCCCAATTTTCGCTGCCCAGAGAAGTAGATAGCAGGAGCGATGAGATGGTTATATTGCGATATGGTACAGTACAATGGATGATTCATTTGTTATTTCAGCATCTGTTTATGTATCTCTGATTAAAGTTCACAATATCATATGTCAGAGTGACTTCAGATGCCATGTATATCTTAAGAATAGTAACAATGGCGTTAAAATGAGATTTTCTTGTTTTTTCTGTTGCCAAAAGGTAAAACAAAAGTACTAAAAGCTCTTATCTCTGCGTTAAGCCTTCCTCTTAATTTGGCTTTCCTACTTTAATGTGTTTATAATATTGTAATGTTATTTCGTGTAAGACGCTTCTTTTTGCTAACAATGCCATCCTTTTTTTTAAAACAAAAGTAAAACCTCTTTTATGATCCACTTTTAGTCAACGTATAGGGGAAAAAACAATACTACTACGTTTTACGTATTATATTCCACAAGAAAGTAAAGCTTGAAAGCATTGTAGAGACCAAAGAAATCACTTCAAAGAGCGGACAATAGTTTTAACCTCCGCTGATACTTAAATGTAGCGGGTTCGAATAAAAAGGATAACCTTGGTGCTATTGATTTGAAGCGCAGTGAAAAAGAGATATGACTGTCACAAAAAATGAACAAATATCTGCCAGCCAGAGTTTCAGTGTTTGCAAAAAGTTATTGAAATAGCTTTGGAAGTGTTACTGATGATGGATGATAACGATGACGCATCGATTGAAAATACTGAGGCATTATACACAACCTCACTACACCACAACACATTCATCTCGATAAATGCAGCTATAAACGCTATTGAGTGATGGCTATTGATATCACGAGTTAATTTTCTCTAACAAATTGAAGACATAATTTCATCTCCCTACATCTTCTTAATGGACTATGGTTCCTAACCCCACTGATTATAGCAAGCTATTAAATCAACGTCGTTTAACGGATTTACCAGATAGTGTCGAGCATCAGCAGTGTTTGTAAGATTGAGCAGCCATAATAACTAATTGACTAAATAATAATAAAAAGAGTTTCCCAATAGCCAGCTTGACAGAAAGGTGACGTAAAGTAACGTTGTCAGCTATGTACAAAAACCAGATTTCGTATATTTATTCGCTTAAACCGATGAACCTACCTTTTCAGAAACTTCATGCTTCTTTGGTGGTAGCAGACTACTGTTGTTTGGGGTAACCATACGTGGAGGTAGCTTGGGAGGCGTATCTGAGGGTGAATTCATTTCATTTGTTCCACATATTGTTGTATTCACGTTGTCGTCTGGAGTTTGAGCAAAAAAACTGCAGTATCACCTTTACCCAATTCCTTTGAAACATTTAATACAGGGGAACTTATTACAGCTACGGAACTTGTTGCCTTTTTATTTGAATTACTTGTCGTTCGGTTGTTCTTTCGATTTACAGTTGTATTTAACGATTGAGGTCGGCTGTGAAAATTACGTAATAGGGAAAATATTTTCATGAGTACCTACCGGAAACACATAATATAATGTATAATGGTAATATCAGTTAAACTTTGTATTGAAAGTTTACAAAAAAGTTTCGTTTTCACTAGAAATGACGAAGCTTCTTTGTAAGCAAGAGCTTCTTAAGTTTCAGAAATCTCGAAGGATAGATGTTAAAAACTGATAGTTTGAATAACTGAGGTAGTGGCTGTGGTAAGGGAATCAGACGTATTCCCAACAAACTGATTAACTTCGTTGATCACTCTTATTTGCAAAAATGAAGAAAAAACCTGATGTATTGATTTCTGGATAATCAGATGGACTGAGATAGTACCTAGAATCCCAAGACATATGAATATTAGATGTTTGAATATAGTTCAGAAGCCCCATTCTATTCCGTGGTTGAGATATGGTCTCTGAAAGTGAAAGATATGATGTCACAGGCTTTCTCTCATTAGTGTCTTCTCAGTATTTTTCGCATGTCGTGGAACTATAGAATAAAAATATGGTTTGAGTTTTATTTAATTCATCAACAGTTTTGTTGATTTGCAAGGTTATTTTAGCCCTAATCAACCTGTTTCTGGTGAAAGCTTATAACCAATACTACAAACCTGTATGACACTCACTAACATGTAACATTTTGGCATTGGTCAGGTATCCCAACATCGATGAGTGGAAGAACACAGTTTGCATCATTTTACTTTATTTCATTCTACATCTGCGCGAGAACATAAAAATGTCACGAGTTTTCAGATATGTTTATGAATAGTAGGAGGCTGGAAACAGTTTAAGGTAACGACCGTAAGTAGATAAAGTCATGAAGTAGCACCAACTGAAGTGGTTTGTATGTGACCCCCTATGAAGTATAATGCTAGTGAAGTTAGATTAGATTAGAAGAAAAATTATAGACAGTAGAATCTTGATATGATACAGGTTTATGAGGATACTGACAATCAACCACAATGAAGTAGGAATTTTCTAACTACGTAGTTGTAGTCTTCCAAGATTACAGCAGCTAATCGTCAAAGGCGGTGTGCAATATGCTTAAAACTAGATAAAAACGATTTTAATCTGATTGTTTCGTAAAATCTCTGCACTTCAGAATGTTCTACTAATATATTCATATATGAATATTCATTCTATGAATTTATATAATTGTTGTGGTTCGCTCTTTCCTGTCGATGAACTTGTTCTCCTCTCTTATGGATCATGAAATGTTGACTTGATGAGTCTTTGTGTGCGGTTTAATGCTATAATGTTTTTACACCTAAATACAAGGTTCCTACTTATGGTATACAGTGTGGAGTACTATATTATAATACGCTAAGAATAGATGCCGCTTACAACCCAGTAGATAAAGCTTTTATTTAGCTATAAAACAGTGTTAATTAGTACTTTGACTTTTTTTAAATACAGCCTCTGTGTGTTTTGTTATAGAGAAGAGAAATACAGCGGTATATTAACTGCGAACTGGCTGCATACTGACGTTTGTATTACATTTCACTGAATGTATGTTGTCTGATAAATAGTTTCCATCCGTGTCGTCTAGGTTTTACATTTCCAATATAATGGGAAACGAAGCCAATGAAAGGAATGCGGCATATATATATATATATATATATATATATATATATATATACTACCAGTCTTTTGTCCTATATAACTGTCTTTTTATTCTGATATTCTTTCACTTTATTCGTGGGGCAATCACCAATTATAAGTATCTTTGGTAATATCGAACTGACCATGTAAGTCAATTTTTTTATATCTGGACAATTACTTTTTCAAACAAATCTTCCATGTAACACCTTTTCCTTCACTGGTACTTAACAAAATAGTGGTAGATATCTTAAATAAAGTAGACCATCCAAATTAAGTAAAATTATTACCATAGTGAACGGACTGACAGCTGACATACTCAGAACACTGTTCCCTCCCTTGTAAACCGTTTTGAAACCAAATGAAAATAATTAAGCAGTAATTTTTGATAATCTACCTCGACTGGTTAACTAGTTCAGTAGTTACCAGCCGGTCCTAAGCTCAGGTAAAGAGGGAAGGTTGGGCATAGGGCTAGCAACCCTACCACGTAAAACCAATCCAACCGATAAAGAAACTTCAAAGCACAGAAGAAATATAAAAAATAAAAATAAAATTATTCCTTGCTGGAATCGGAGAGACGAAATGACGCCGGTTGGTGAAAGCCTTCAGGAAGCCAATTGGCCAATGTGTCTTCTCATCTCTCGATGAAAGCGAAAGTCAACATGAGGACATGCAATGTCCGCACCCTGTTTGAACCTAGCAAGGCAGCTCAGATTGCAAACGAGATGAGAAGGTGTAGCATTGAAGTGCTTGGGATTTGCGAAAGCAGGTGGAATGGAAGTGGACTCTCCAAACTGTCAACTGGAGAGTCAATAATCTACTCCGATATTGTCACCCAGACGACAACTACGAGCACACTGAATTCTGAAGTGGCTCTCATGATGTCCCTGAGAGCACCGAAGGCTCTCATACAGTGGGAACCAATCTCCTCCAGCATCAGGATCATGACAGCAAGAGTCAACTCAAAAGGAAGGAAGGAAGGTCACAATCATACAATGCTACGCTACGCTACACACCTACAAATAATGCAGATGAAGAGAAAAGGAGGAATTCTACAAACAACTCCAATCAGTACTGAACAAGACCCCACCCCAGTTGGCGACATCCAAATTCTAATGGGCGACATGAATGCCAAACTGGGAGCGGACAGCACAGGAAGAGAACTAAACATGAACCCTGGAAGTCTTCGAAAGAGATGAGAAAAGAAACCTACATAACCTTATTAGGAACGAAGAAGAAAGAAGATAAGGAGTGGATCACGATGGACATATGGAAGCTGATAAAGCAGGGAGAGGAGGATGGTGAAGCAGAAGATGAACCAGTGAAGGACGCACAACGAGAAGAGGAACCGAGTACAATGTATAAAACACTACACAAAGAAGTGAAGAAGAGTGTCCGGAAAGACAAGAGGCACTTCTACGAAACACTGGCAAGTGAAGCAGAACAGGCTGCAGGTAGGAGAGCCTGACAACATTGTATCAAATAACCAGGTTACTATCTGGGAAGAGATCAACCAATGAAAGATAGTGAACGAAACCTAGTTACCAAAGGAGAGAAACAAAGAAAACAATGGGCTGACCACTTCAAAAAGCTCTTGGATCGACCACCACCTGCAGCCACAGAACTACAAGTGAACCCAAGCCCTCAGACGAAAGTCGAAGTCCTGAATACCATAAGGTTACTTAAATGCAGGAAAGCAGCAGGACAAGATGGAATCCCACCAGAAGCACTGAGAGCAGACGCAGGGACAACAGCGGACATGCTCACACCACTATTGCGGAAGGTCTGGAAGAAAGGGAAGATACCTGGCGATTGGAAGAAGGGTTGCCTTGTCAAACTGCCGAAGAAGGGCAACCTAAGTCTTTGCAAAAACTGGCGCGGAATCATGTTCCTGTCCCTGTCCACACCAAGCAAAATATTAAGCCGCATCATCCTGGGAAGACTAAGGGATACGCCGGATTCAAAACTACGACCGGGACAGGCTGGCTGGCTGGCTGGATTCAGGAGAACAAATCATATGCGGACCAAATTGCAACGCCACTCTACGCATCATCATAGAACAGAGTATAGAATGTCAGTCAACTCCCTACCTCAACTTCATCGACTTTGAGAAGGCCTTCGACGGCGTCGATCGAGAAGTAATTTGGCAAGCAGTTGCTTCAACACTACGGAATACCACAAACCTTTATCAATCTCATTCAACAACTATATGAAGACGCCACATGCCAAGTAATTCACAATGGAAGCTCAGTTCATTGATGCTTTTGAAGTGAAGACAGGAGTAAAACAAAGCTGCCGCCTACTATCTATCACCGATGATATTCCTGACTGTAGTGGACTGGATCATGCAACAAACTGTGAGGAGCGAGAAGACGGGCATACGCTGGACCGGGGAAAAGAACCTAGAAGATTTGGATTTCGCGATGACTTGTGTCCAATGTCACACAAACGTGAAGATCTACAGGCGAAAACTAACAAGTTGACAGAAGAGGCGAGGCAGTGAAGGGAGACAGGACTTCAAGTGAACGTAGAGAAGACAGAGGTGATGAAGATACCCAACCAACACCACCACCACCAACAACAACAACAACAAGCTCCGATCACCATGAACGGGAGAAACTTGAAGGAAGCAGCCTCTTTCACCTATCTAGGTAGCACTGTTTCACTACAGGCAGCACAGATGAGGATGTCAAAGTCAGGATGGGAAAAGCAAGACAGGCGTTCATTAGCCTGAGACCAGTATGGAGACCTTTCGCACTCAGCATAAAGCGCGAACAAGATCGGATTTTCAATACCACTGTCAAGTCAGTGCTTCTATATAGTTCAGAGACGGCGTGTTACGAAAGGGATTTCCAACAAACTACAGACATTCATCAACAACTGCCTACGCTCGTTACTGAAGCTCAGATGGCCAGAATACTACGAATAAGCAACAAGGAACTCTGGCAACGAACAAATCAAGAACCTATCGCTCAACAAATATACAGAAGGAAGTGGAGATGGATTGAGCATACACTGGGAAGACCATTCGGGGACATCACACGCCAGGAACTCGAGTTGAACCCAGATGGGAAACGATGAGTTGGCGTCCCAGCTGAGGGTGACATGGGAGAGATCGTGTGAGGGAGAAATGAGAGCTTGTGGGCTGTCGTGGAGCCAAGTTCAAAAGATTGCAGAGGAGAGAGTGCACTGGGGACGTGCTACTGAAGCCCTGTGTTCCACTAGGACGCAAAGGACAAATAATAATAATAATTTTTGATAATCAGATTTACTTTGAAATCAAATGAGAATTTAGGCAACAACGGCAAAAAACAGTAGGTTATACCAGTCACAATGAAGTTATGTAGATACCATTTATTCTTTTTATTTATTGGTGGTCTTAATTACTTGGAAACATCAGCAAACATTTAGCCCGAATCCTACGTAGGTTAACAATGTTGTTTAAGAGATGTATCTGGACAAAATTTATCGTTCACAACTTTGAAATTAGTTCCTGCAGCTTTAATGTTTTTCACTTGACCTACATAACTAAATTAAACAAACTCAAGTAATATATAACAGTCAGCCATGATTGCTTGAACATTGCCACTGACTAATTTTCACTTGCATTTGTTAGCGTACGACAGTAAACTCCAGTATGTGTCTCCTTCCATTCCGTACTCACAGATGAAATATCCCAGCTCCCCCCCCTTGAGTTTCAGTGTCACTGATGAGACCTGAATACAATAACGACCATGAACTCTGCTCAATAACATACAGTTACAGTAAGTCAATAGCCTAGCAGAAAACAGCTTGAATTTAAAAGTGAGGAATATTGAGTTCATGTTTTAGTGAAAGCGAAAAATTCGAACTACATGGATGCGACTAACTTCTGGAATAGACAAAAAGGTCTCCACACCGAATTTTATAACCGGTGACTGCAAAAACTAATCTTGGAAACAAAATGTAAAAAACACCGTTCGGTGTGGTTTAATCAACCAAATGCGTTCAAATCACTTGAAACATAACTGCACCACCACGTTTCCAGCTTCTCTATAAGCCAAAAAACTGTTTTGAAAGTTTATTTAGTGCCAATTTACTGTCAGCTCCACAAAATTATTTGTGGAACTAAGGCTCGTGAAAGGAGTATTATTCAAAAATGGATTCAAGCGTCTTGGCTTTAGATGCTGGCGGTACATCGACAAGAAGTCGTAGACTTAGATTTTGTGTTCATTGGGACTTACAAGTAAGGTATATCTGCAATAATGAGGAAACTGGTGTTCCCCAGTACCTTGAACCTGTATCACAAAGTGCTGAAATCAAATACTCGTCCCCAAACTATGCATGCCACGAATAAACCGCTTTAAGAATGGATTATCTAAATGAACTGGTCATCAGTGGTTAAGCGATGTGGCTGTCTTGTCTTTAGTGCTTAACATTGACAGAAGTCTGTTGACCAGCATCTAACACAAAAATACAGTGTACCACAGTGTACCATCATTTATCTTAGTAGTCACATTACAAAATTCATCAACAAACTTTATCTTGTGCTGATTACTTGGGATTAGACACTTAAATCGATTACCTACTGGTGATGGGTTCTTTTCCGAACTCTGGTGTTCTTGTGTGAGTATTCATGAGGGTGAATGAGTTTGTTAAGAAGTACGAACAACTATGATGACCAGCACCCAAAAATGTCAAATATATATATGTATATATATATATATATATATATATATATATATATATATATATATATATATGCATTCTGACTACCAAAAACAGTCCAACATGAGAAGAAATGCAAGGAAATGGTAAAAAGAATTACGAAAAAGCGATAATCTGTTGGGGGCAGTTTTTTCTTCACATTCTTGGTTGCAAATTCATCTTATAATATTTTTATTCTATTCAAGAGTTTAAAGTGAACATAAGTAAATAACGAGTTACTTAGAACCTACTTTGCAATCTCCTTTTTGTGGGTTTGTAAAGACTGCGTAGGATGGGTTCCACTAGCAGTGGATACAGCAATAACGTGGTCCATCGGCTTGAAACGAGTATTTGTTGTTGATACAGCCTGGTTCCGTGAATTCAATCGAGGAGGAAGTGGTGGAGGTATTGGAGTAAGTTTTTTGTTAACTTGTTCTGTTTTACATCCTCCAGAAGGGCTGGATCTTGAGTCAGGGGGTAATAAACATTCATCTACATTTTTTGCTTTTGGACTTTGAGCGATTGGTGTAGTCTGACGGTGAGACATCCTTCCAGCGAAGCATTTCTCTTCTATAAAAAAGTAAACAAGTGGTTGCGCGAAAATTGGTAGTCGGCAAGTTAAGTTCCGATTTCAGTTTGGAAGTTTATAGGATTGGTTGATTGATTTTAAGGTAGTACTCACCACTAGCCGCCATCAGTTGCAGAACCACTGGAAACCTGAGAGCCATAGACAGCCGTTTTGTCCTAGTGTGAGACTCATCAGCAGCGAACCGCCCTTCCTTACCGGAGGTCAGACCCAGGACCGTAAGGTCTAGCGGCGAGCGCATCAATCATTCAACCAATGGATCAGGATCCAACGGTCAGATGGCTGCATTGCTAAAAACATATGAGAGCATGCCTTTTGAGGAAAGCACATGCCGGTCATTTGTTCGATAACCGTTATATATATATATATATATATATATATATATATATATATATATACATATATATATATATATAAAAGGCCTACAACACAATATTCTTATTACCATTGTCAACATTAACGACTTCCCATAATATACATAGAGCTATCGCTTATTGACCTAGGTGTCCGGCCTTCAACCACTAGGTCACGGGTCCGAATCCCGTTCTGCCTACCAACGTCTGGGTATTATCAGTAGTCCGCACACAACACTTGTGGCTCACTGTGCGCTGCACGAATGTGCACGTGATTACTGAGTTCATTTCGCATTGTCCGTTCGTCCTCATACTATAAAGTAAAAAGTTGAGTTAAAATATTGTGCTTACCTGAAACACATAACTGGGGTTCGTTATATGCAGAGGTATCCTGATTATACGTAACTTGCTCTCGTAAACCATAATTTGGCTGATTCTGTGTCAGTCCAACGTTTGAATTTATCGGTAATGCAAAGTTTTGTGCAGAAATACTTGATACAGTGCTTGGTTGCCATATTTCACTAAATGCACACGAATTACTACTAGGCATCCGTGGTCCTGTACTTACAGATGGGCTCGCACCGGGAGGTTTACACTTGTACCTAAACAGGCTGAATTTGACGGAGAGCGTGTTGAGTGTAACAGAGGGTTATATGAAGTTGAGTTAGAAATAGTAGATCCAGAGGAAAAGTAAGGTGCTGGGACTGAAACCAGTGGTCCATATATATTGCCTGATGGAGAAACTTGATGCACTTGAATTTGATGAGGAGTTAAGTGCGACCCATAGCGATGTAGTATCTGACCGGGGACGGAAAAAGCGACTGAAACATAAAACTCCCTGCATCTTGTGCGCTGTGACTATGAGTAAGCCTATGTGCGGATGAACTCCCATGCATCCTATCTGTTGTAGAAAAGTTTGGAAAAGCACCACTTGGATTGCAAGGAACATGATGCCCAGATAAACCAAGCGTATGTGGCGTCGGCATAGAACTACTCTGCAGAGACTCAGCAGTCCCATAAGTCCCTGAATGGCAGACTGGTGACGAAGCTGCACAGCCAGGTGAAGACGCATTTGAAGGGCAGTCAAACAACTATCAAAAAGAAGGAAAACATTAGGCTTTATATTTTTTTCTGCATAAAATTTAGAAAAACGATTGACATAACATAACCGGATTAAATATTTTTTTATAGCTAATCATATGAATGCAGTACGTCTAAAATTGTCAGAGTATGAGATATCTTATGCTGTAACAGATGCACACATCATCATTTTTAGAAAATACTTTCTCATAACGGTTACTTTTAATGAAGAAGCAACAAATGAGTTTCCCTAGAAACTCTTTTCTTCATAATCCACTCTCAAAAACCCTTGAGAAAAATGCATATCGGTGAAAACAAAGTTAAGACTATCACCAAATTACCTACCAGTTCTACAGTTTACCCGCATATTTAAACGTCTTATAAAAAGAAAAAAGATCTTCGATTTTAACACAATGGGTATAAAAACATCAGTGATAATGAAGACCAATACTACAAATTTTATGCTCGAAACTCTCAGAGGTAAAAACAACAGAAGAGTCAAACGTTTTCATCTCCAATATTCAATTTTCGAACTATATTTGAAGTGAGTTAAATTTCCCAATGCAATTTTTTCTGGTATGTAATCTTTATTACTCATGTTACATGGCACAAGATATCCCAAATTATTCAAGCAGCACTGCACGATGATGTTATTTAAGGACTAGAAGTAAGAAATCCGTGAATGAAACAGATATAAAGCATGTACAATTTTAATTGATGATTAATTCAATTATGCACCTGGTATGCATACCCATTATCACAAAAATACATGGTATACTGAGGTAAATTTATACACAATGACACTATATTGATAGAAATACTTGTACCATCTTGGTTGTGTCGTGTTCTCTGAGATGGGTTGTTTAATCATATAGCTTCCATTGTCTTTCTAGACAACATCAGCACTAACTAACCACTAGGATCAGAGAACACTATACAACCAAGATCACCCACCTGAGCTATAAATAATCTCTACCATTTCAAAATACTTGCGCCATGTTTTAGATAACGCATACAACACAAAGGAATCTGTCAAGAATTTCAGCTTTCCATAGATGCGTTGAAGGTTGAATCCTCTTTAATTTTGCACAAAGCATCTCGGATAAATAATGAAACTTGTTGGATGTCTTTGCGGTAGATATGCTCGAACTGATTTCCTTAAAGGTGTCATTAGGAGTAATGCTCCTGTATTTGGGAAGTATACCTTTATTTTAAAATATCGTATGGTTTAAAATAAGATACAAGGAGACTAGTATTAACGACAGAGGATAAAAGATAAAATTCAAAAGAAAAATGATTAGTTTGTTAGCATTAATACAAGATGGAGATGTTTATATGAGAATTTGATGCATTGAGCAATTTCTACTTGATGTCAGTTTTATTACAACTAGGAGCTTCAATTTCAACCAAATGCCTACAGTATGCCATTAATGTTTTGTATGTGGGCCAATGAGCACCGTTAGCTACAAAATAAGGACTGATCCTGATAAAAAACTGAAAAGCCTCAACCAGTGGACATAAATACCAGGGAAAAGGTTTTTTACTGGGAAGAGCGGCAGTTTTGTTAATACTGATAAGGAAATTAGACTTGAATAAGAATGTTAAAGATGGAAAAATATATGGACAAAACACATCTTTAGAGGTTTCACACGAACCTTTAGTCATGAACTTAGAAATACTTTGAATTAAATTCTACGGAAAACAGGATCAAATATAAAAGCTTGACATAAAAAAGCCCACGTCAACAGGATGGCTGTGCACATCTACAGAGTAAATAGAAAAGCCGTCTTATGAAAACCATTAACAGAGGGAAGACTTAAACCTATGATATCAAGACTCATGTTTTGAATAGTACTGTTGTGGACAGGCAAAGATTTCTTCCTCAAGACTCACAGCGGAAGGTTTTTCGTTCTTCACCTATTTTTATAATTCGCATTTATGTATCACTGTTTTTGAAGCGAATATACTCGAAGGATAAATAATTATCCCTATTTGTGTAGCTACAAATGTAACTTCAGTATTTTTGGTGTCAGTTTTCTGAAAGAACACTAATAATGCAATGATTAGTACTTTTAGCTAATACAGAGGAATAAATCGACCTCATGAAAGGTGAATAGAATGGTGGATTGCACTACCAAAAATAACACTACATACTGCATATCAAGCTAAACTGAATGATGTGCTGTAGTCAGTTCACGTTCGCAACTTTGATAAGATTCTATAATTTCACTACAGATATCGTAACCCGAATTCGTTTCATCATCTTCTGACACGTTAAAATAAAGCACCTTTCTACTTGAAACAAAATCAATATTAGATGAATTGAAATTTCAAACGCAGAACGAAGTACACCAATGCAAAAAAGCGCATCTGTTCGACTTATGTAACACACGTAACCTACAAACTAGCGAACAAAGAATGCTTCCACGGAAAGTGGGAGCAGCGTTAGCACACATGTGCACATATAGTGAAATGAAGGATAAATCGAGGAAATGTGACAGGTTTATAGCCACTAAAAATTTTCGTCTACTGTCGAACGGGGGAGATGCTACTTACACAAGTAGCTTGTCGTCAAACTAACTGAAGATACTTTCTCAATATACTTACTTTCTGTTCATTGCAATGTTTACTTCGAAGTCAAGTTTAAGTGAGGGGTATGTGGAAGTCGATGTACAGAAAACAACATGGTAAGAAGTCACTAAAAATTTGTCAGCTTTCTGTATGAAGCATTTTTAACAACAAAATTATGCCGAACTGTATTTTTTGATGAATACTGAAAAATATAACAATTAACAACCATAAAAAAGTGCTTCTGATTCTTTAATGATATTTCAAACGCATAAGTCGGAAGGAAGACAGCTGTACACTTGTTTCTTAGAGTGAAACCTGACAAGTAAAATTCCTTGAGTCGTATCCCAAAGCCCATACTCATGACATACTTTTGTTCCCTACCACCTCTTTGCCGTTTTACATCTACAGCTTTGTGAAAACCAAAGAGATATTTAAATGAACGAGGAATATCCTCTTAGATAACTTCTTCAGACCCTAGAGTTATATATACATATTGAGGAACTATTAGTCAACAGTATTGAGGCTTCGCTTACTGCTTTCTTAATAATATTATACGGTTGAGGAAGCCAGTTCAGAAAAGTCTTGTGTGAACTTTAATGACAGAATCAGTTATTACTGAAAATCAATTCTAAATAATTGATTATATAAATGAATATACGGTGTAGATAATGCTGGTAATGATTGGGCTGTTAAATTAAAAATTACGTTTTTCACACGCCCATTGGTAACACCAAGACTGAGGAATGAATTACCTAGACTGGCCACTTCCTGTTGTGTTTATTAGTTTGACTACTCCCGTGCGGCCAATGACATCACTAATGTTTAGACAAGACTTTTCTGAATTGGCTTCCCCAACCGTATAATATTATTAAGAATCCAATAATCGGAGTCTTAATACTGTTGACTAATAATCCCTCAATATGAACATATAACTTTGGGGTCTAAAGAAAAAGTTATCAAAGAGGATATCTCTTGTTTACCCAAATGGTTCTTCAATTATAAAGGTAATTTTTAATGATTTGAAGTTTAAAATGTGCGAAAGGGGCAATGTACATAACTGGCCGAAGGGTGTGCACATCTCTGGGAAGTGTTTCAACCCTTATAGTAAAAGTTCGAAAAGGATCCAAAAATTTGTATACGCTATATGGTGACACTTCCATTTTCACCTACACTAGTCTTAAGCCCAATTTTGTATGCTAACATGCTTCCATTACGTTAAACAGTAGGTTGAAAGCATGTTAAGGTGGTCCTAACCTACCTACTGGTTTCATATGATCCAAAACAACTGCTACTACACGCGAAAATTCATCGATAATGACTCTGAAGAAGTTACATTCTAAAAACTAAAAATGGATAAAACATTTTGATCTACCTAGTTCAGCTCATGAATATATGTCCCAGCCTAGTACTCGTATATTGTCTAACAGCTGTGTAGACTAATAACCCCCTTTTATCAGTACAAAATGCAAAGCAAATCGGATATGTTAATCATTAAACAACTAATCTGAAAACACAAGGTTAGCTGTGCAATACTTTGCAAGGTTGTTTGAAAAGGAGTCATTTCTATGTTAAGCCCAAGAATAAAGTGAACATATTTTTTGCTGATTCATGCTTGACCGCACTATTGGTTTTTTGATGATTCTGTCGATTATTTACCAATACGTAAAGTTAACGCGAGTAAGAGTATGGACAAAAGAAATGTAAAGTAGAATCGAAAAATCAAGCCGTCCTTAAAATTACTAATTGGCAACGGTGATGTAATTTGCCGGCTTTTGTTTGATTTGAACTTTGCAGACATCTAACGATCTTATAAAATGTGAAATAGTGCACAAATTTCTAGGAGTTAGCATTACTGAGGTGAATAGTGAAAAATATCCCAAACAATTCGGAGTTGGGCGTCGAAAACTTCTAGGTCTGGTAGAACTACCAACAAAGTTTGAAATGAAACTAGATACCGCGATTCAAAAGCTGGAATCAAATGGTGTAGAATTAGTCTTTAAAGCGTGTGCATTGAAAATTAAGTCATCAAGCAGTGCTCTCAATGTGAAGAAAACCATTCTACAGACTATTCGCTGATGCATGACGTAATGACATTTGGTTTATCGGAAACAAAATGTTAAGACACAAAATTTGTATTCAGAGCTGCTTTTGAGCGTTTAAATAGACTATATGATGCTAATTCGATGTAGCATGAGTTTATTTCCACTTCAGGTTGTAGAAAACATTAAAATACGTTTCCGACAATAGCTTAAAATTACCATATTCAGGTTATCTTTTTCCAACTTAACCATAGATACTCCTCATTAATATAGCCTAAACAGTTATAAGTCGGACTAATATTTCAAGGTTACCTAGCGAGTCAGTGAAAGACAGAACAGTTTTTGGATTTTACTATCTGCAGTACTGAATTATACACCAACCATGAAGGAAAGTCACTAAGTCCATTAGTTTAGAATAAGACTGCTATTGCAGAGTGGCGTGACTCTGAACGTAATTGAGTTTTGACCTTATGTGGATACTAAAATAATTAAGGGTATTAATGGACACTATTTCTATCTCATGAATTAAGAAAATTCCAAAGTGAAATCTGTGTTTACGAAACTGAATGATTGCCGAGAATTATGACTTCCACAAAAGAAGCGTTAAATAAGGATATCATGTTTGATAGAGGAGTACTTTGAGATGATTCTCACTACTCATCGTACAGATATATATATATATATATATATATATATATATATATATCTTACCGCCCCACAAAGTGACGATTTAGGGTAAACGGAAAGATTTAGATGTGTTATTACAGGATGTGGATGGTAATAAGGATTCTGGTTAGAAATTAGGTCCATCTGTCCATGTATCACTCCTGCGTGCTTTTGTGCAGCATTTTGGACGTCATCATGAAAATCACACGTATACAGAGATCCAGGGCAAGTAGCAGAACTTGAAAGCTGCCCACGATAAACAATGGGCTTCATTACATTTTGATGGCGCATAGCGGATGACTCGGATGTCCGTGCATAACCATATTGGTACATCACACAGAGGTCATTCTAAGTGAGCGCGTTAACAACGAAACTGAAACCTCAAGGTCGAAAGTGCAACCGACTAGCTTAAAAAACTCAAATTCATCTTATAAATGATTCATAAGAACTGAAACAGACCTGTCACTTTGTAAGACAAGTATCCGAAGAGGATTAATTTTAGGCAGGATGCAGGTCATTTCCCAATAGTTAAGGTGAAGGCGTAGGTGGACTTACGTCACTATTTGTGACAATGCCCATTCCTGTCTAATTCTATTTTGCAAGTATACCACTTAGAACTCATACGCTAGAACTGTATAATAATTCCTCGATTACTTGTACTCCAGTCCACTTACAGTCTGCACACTTATTTTAGTGCAAGGCCATGTATCAGTAACTTTCAAATCCATCGTCCATCAAGGTCACCTGGTCAGTTTGACGCTGTAAGCTGCGTTATTCTGAGTGTAGTGCTGGTGGCATTGGCTCTGATGTGAGAAAAGGCTGTTGAATTTCCATGCCACTCTTGTGTGTGAATCAGTTTAAGGGCTTTTTAATTACTCACATTGTACCTGAATTGGAATGCCATCTTCCCACTAGCTGGAGCTTCATCAAATGATAAGAGAACGTTAGTAGGCATGATATATACTTTTACACATCTAAAGATTGCCATTTCGAGCATTAATGATTGAGTGTAAAGCGTGATTTCTGTTATGACGCAATGCCATTTATAACGGAGAAAGCGCCGGAATGTCCCTAATTGTTTTCAGAGCATTACTTCGGGGTACAGAAATGAGGTTTTCAAGGAAATTGGGGCCAAATAAAGCCAGTTATATCCATCATTTCAAAAATATCCCATGTACTTATCAACCAATGAGATTTATGATGACTTAAGAATCTTGGGTTGCATTCAACAACGTTTAAAATGCATTTTCACGGTGGATGATGACCAAACTCTCGCTGACAGCAGTTCGTACTATTGCATTGTCTGAAAGAAAGTAATAAGCGACTTCAGTTCCACTGACTGAAAACAAGTTATTATCGTACGTTTTTGAAAGGCATTAACCAGTGGACTAGTATATGTAGACAGTACGTTTCCCCCTTATATGACGTAAAGTGCAGTCCGATAGTGCAGAGTTAGAATCAATAACTGACCTCCTTTCCTTATTCATTTGCAGCCATATTGTCCATGTGTCTGTAGGTGGTAGCGAAGTACTGAATAAATATTTACTGAGCGAAGGCTGTGCTTCCTCAGTTCACTTACCGATATCCGAGACACTGCGATTCGAAAACTACGTTACTTTTTCCCCAGCTGGTCAGAGCAATATTTTGAGGCGAAAGGTCTCATTTGGATGCACACCAGACATGACACAAAACCCACCTCTTTTCCCACTTCAGTGACTATTGCTGAAGCAAAACGACCTCATTGATGCAAATGGTTTAAAGCGACTTTGTTGGATGACTTAGTTCCGTTCGACTGTTTAGCAGCAGAAGTTCAGCTGTCTGTTGAGGAAGGCATACTTATGATTACCATGAGCTTCTGGTAGATAGGGGCATCAGAGTGACAAATGTCAGATGTTGGACCCAGTTTCTGTCAACCAGGGTGAAATTATTCGTGGGATCTGGCAAATGCAACTCACCCAGTTGATTAGCACAGTAATGTTTCATAAACATACCACGTTTCAACTGTCGTTGTACCACTTATGACAAAAAATTCAATCATCACTTATTTCATCACACAGTGTTCTCAACTGATGGAAAGATTGTCCATTCTTGAAGAGCAGCCGCTACTCCTTTGACTCCATCATCTTACCAAGCTGGACCTTCCAATCTTACAGGTTTCACAAGTTGAATAGCAGGAGGTTGATTGTAGCTGTGAAAGTCACTGTGAATGTGTGGAGAAGCCTGGTTTCTGTCGCCTTCCGACCAAGTGAGAAGCTTGTGTCTGGATTAACCAGCATCCGCTTCCGAGATCTTAAACGCAGGCTATTATATGAGAATAAGAGTTACTGTTAATGAAACTTTATCCCTCTGTATGAGCTGATAAGCGATATTTACTCGTCCATTTCACAACCAGCAGGATCTTCTAATGTTTTTAATAGAGTTTAATAACATACCCTCTGTACCATTCGGGACTTCCAAAATCCTGTGGATGCTTTAACATATATCAATGTGCTGATGCCTATAAGTGGACTTCTCTCATGTTAAACTGCCGGTGTGAGAATGAAATACCTATTTGTTTATTTGCCACATTCGACTTCCAAAATCTTCCTTCTAGCTTTAGCGAAATTTTTGAAGCTCACACAAATATTTTGGATTGCGCACCTTGTTTGGTTGAATGCAGAAAACTATCCCAAAATAAGCAGTATTTCTTCCACCGGCATTTCTGAATTTGGAAAAAATATGTATCCTGAGAAGCCAGATGGGCATCTGAAAATGTTAGGGAAATAGATACCTCGGTTTATCTGAAAACGTCTGCGAAACATTCGGTGTCTCACGCAAGGTTTGCATCCGTTTCTTGCAGAATAATGATTACGTTTATACACATACCAAAACTTCGCTATTCCCTCAGAAAGTTAAAGAGATTTTTTAGTATGTTTGATGTTGCTTCACGCCGTTTCACGTTTAGTTGAAAGCCACCTGTCTACATTTGACCCCCACCACTAGCATCTTTCGTAGCGTTGCCACTCTCTGACGGCTGTTTATTTAAAAGCTAGCCCATATGCTGGTTAGAATACAATCAATTCAAAATACTTCATGCTATACCGCTTTTGCATGGAACGACAGATTAATTATATCCCGTGGCTTGTTTACCACATATTAAAAAAACTGTTTTGCCCCTAAAACTAATTAATTTGTTGCATTTATTCACTGTCCCACGCCGGAACTCAAACGGACCAAGAAAGGAATACATTTATTCGATTATACTGTGAATGACGCTGATTATGACCTTAGACAAACATCGGGGGAAGTGACATGTTCGAATGAGCTTAACACTACGAAACCCAACAAAAAATCTTGTTCTGTGCTGTCTTCCGAAGGGTGTCTCAAAAAGTATGAAGGAGGTGTTTTGAATCAGAGGTGAAATTGGTGATGGCAACGCTGAGCGAAGAAGTTTCGTGGAAGTAGGACTTGGTCCTGCGGATACGGTCATTTACTTATCAGCCTAAGAAGACTTCGTGGGTGGATTTATCTGTCAGGTCTCAGTAGCACCTGAAAAGTGGAGTCGAAAAAGAGGCACTGACCAAGTTATTAGCCATAGGTTATAGCGAGGACATGGCCTGATACCTGTGGGTTTTTAGATACATGTCTCTCAAATGCATATCCTAGTGAAACCTGACGGAATGATCAACTCAACATGACATAACATAATGTGATCTGTGTCACCGTTCACAGTACCAAATCTAATGTTATGGGGGGTTGTGAGCAGGGAGATGAAATACGTCATGACGTGGCGGCTATCAGGGAACTACAGTTTCTTCCCGGTCTTCATGCAAACTTCGTGCTACAGGAATTTAGCTTCAGTGTTAAGACAGAGTTTAGTTCTGTGGAAGAGGTGCTCTGGTGCCCGGTTTTATTGACTGCTTCTGGACAAATTCTTGACAAGTGGCAAGAAAGATAGTTGTCACTTACGGAAGCATTCCTCGATGGTGCATATTCGTCAGCCTTGTGGTTTAACGTAACCCCTTTTTGGGCGGACGAAGTCAGATCAGAATACCCTTCAAACCAAGGGGACAGAACCAAAGTCTTATAACGTGAAATTTCAGGGTCCTTTACCAAGACTGATCTCAGTTATCTCTCATGAGAGCCGGCAATTTACTGATACGTTCACCTGAAAAAATGGTTCTGCCCTTCTTTGGCAACTGGCATCTTGGCCATATGAAATGCCCTTAGAAAATGGACCTTATTTAATCCACCAAGTTGATGGCATATTTTTGATCGGTTATTCTCATTTCATTTTTTTATTAAAACGGCGTCCTATGTTGTGCTCGTGCTCCTTTTAAAGTGTAGCCAGATAAAATTAAGTATTCTCCAGTTCCAAATCTTAAGGTGTTTTTGAGTTTCGGGGTCTCATACTGGACATTTGCCTTGGATGAGTGTTTCCCCTGCTGCTGTACTGAACACGTGACAATCAATTCCTCTCACACAAACCGATGTGTGTAGCACGGAACAAATTTTCAGAATGACCCGAGTAAAGATGCATATTTCTGATATGGCATTCTGCTGCAACCATTCAGCTCGCATTCCTCGAACAACCTACTTCCCCTCACCGCAGAAATGTAAACTAAAGAACCGAAATTTTGTTGAACTACATAGTTGTTGTACAGTCATTGGACTGAAACGGCGTTAACTAGGGCGGGAGATAAAGTGGAAACGAAGCCTATCACAATGCTCCAGCGTTCCGACACTCCTTCCTTGTCTCCCCTGAAATGCTTGATCAAGTGATCACTTTGTGGAACACTACTGCCAATCAGGATCGACAGACCGCTTTTCAGCTGGTTGTCGTATTTACGCAGACACTTGGTAGTAGTTCTATTAAAGTTTCCATTGTTCATGAAATAAAATGCAGAAACCGGATTTCCCTGGGGACTGAGAGTAGTCTCTTCCTTTCCGAACAACAAAATCCGGCCTGTCTCGGAAGGCGTACACTGAAATTCCGTTTCTGCCGGTGGTGTGAAATTGTGAAGGGAAACGGGAGGTTTATAAACAACGACATTTAGCTAGGTTCCAGAAATTGCCAAGCAAAAGGCTTTTGCGTTTAACTTTAGAAACGCAAGACTATACATTTAGGGCATGACGTCTGTTATGCATGTTGTTTCACTTGTACAGAACCCGAGTAGACACTTATGAGGGGGAACTCGTGTTGGAATCCCGCGAAAACCGACATCTATGCTGAATAATATTGAACGGTTTTAACGGGGACATTGAGCTAGTGTCTTTGTGGGCGATCTTTAACGGTTAAATTTCGAGTGCTTTCAGTGAATTTATATTCAATGGGACTGGCATTCAGTTACTCG